TCTTTCCTTTTTTTAATAAATAATAAACTATTTTTATTAATAGCAAAACAAATCAAAAAGAAAATTATTCATAAAGCAAAAATAAAACGAAACTTTTACAAAACTTTGGAAAAAGAAGGAACAAATTTAGAAACACCCACATTTTATCGTGAAGTATGTAGTTTCATTTATTATTAATATATAAATTCTAAAGTCATATCATAATGATTATAATTTCTTAAAAGATTTTTGAAGGGAATAATAATTCATTTGATCATGATACAAAAATTGAAAAAAATCAAAAAGCAAAAGATATGGATGATATACCTTCACCTAATTATCTAAAAGATAAATGTGAAAAAGAAATATCCTTAGATCTTAAAAGAAAAGACATAAAGGTAAGTTTTCACATCTTTATTAATATTGTTTATAATTTCTAAAAGTTCTAACAAAATTCTCATTATATTGCAGAAATCCAAAATCAATAAGTTGCTTAAAATGAATTTTTTTTTTTCTTTTGTATTTATATATATTTTATCATCATCATTTCTTACAAGGTATTTTTTTTTTTTTAAAAAAAAAAAAAAAAAATTTGATAGAAACAGAAAATCGGCAAAACCTAATCCATTTAACAAGGTTCTTCAGGAACGAGAACGAATTCAACGAGAAAAACTTGCCGAAAAAGAAGTAAATCAATCATCAATTAAGTTTTATAGTTTGATAAAAAAAATAATATGAAATTAATCACAAATTAATGATTTATCCGGTAGGAAATACAACTACATAGGCAAAAAAAGAAAGCTTATTATGTCGAACGTAATAGAATGAAAAAAAGACTTATGAAATGTAATTCTAAAGGGCAACCTTATATGAAATCTCGAATTGATCAAATATTGTCAAAAATCAAAGAAAAATACTAACCAGTTCACTTATTTTATAATTTGATTTATTTTTATTTTTTTAAACTGAAGCGTTTTTTATCTGATTACTTTAAAAACGTTGGCATCAAAATTATCGTGATTAATGAAATTTACTAATTCATTTCACCCGTTTAAATAATATCAAGTTGACATCATGTATTTACATTACTCGTAATCTACGAGTATTTTGACGCGTCTCTAGAGATGATATATTTTATAAACAAGGCTGTGTAACAAATGATCCTCATATATCTCATATATAAGCTCCATTACTATTAATTAAAACAAATCCCATTTCTTGAATAACTTCATATATTGATAGTCAGTATGTGCTCTAGTAAAAGTATCTTCAGATAATCCAATCTTTGAAAAAGAATCATCAGCGTTGGGTTCCCATTGTACAATGTCAATTTCTGGTGATTTTAACATTTCAATGAATTCACTTAAAATAGGTGCCGCTGCATAAGGATTAATCGTTGAAATATATTCAACCTTGTAACGGAACAAAAAAAAAACGCGTTTGATATTAATTTAATGTAAGGGTGTAATGATTTAATTATGAAAAGAATATTGTTTAGAATCAAACCTCTACTAGCATTCCTTTGTAATTAGCAGCAGTTTTGGGAGCGGCAACTCGAACTAAAAAGTCACCGATAATATATGTCTTGCCCTGAATTAAATTTAGCATTACTTATGAATTTAAAAGATAATTTAATCGGAACAAAAAAAAAAAATTTTAATTCGACTCACTTCATAAAATGTATGTTGCCTAACTTGCCATAGATTTTTCAACCTTTCGAGTATGCTTTCCATTTCACGCTCGGCCTCAATAATCACATCATCTATCAAACAATAAATCTTATTGGCATTGTTGAACACTGTTGTATTCATACGTTTTTCAGTTTTTGCATTAATAAATAATTTAATGTGTATATTCCAACTTTCCTTATAACTTCCTAATAAAGTCGTTGTTATACGATCATGAAATTTTATCAATCCTTCATGACCTCCTTGATGACCTTCGCTATTATCTTTCCATAATAACACACTATATTATGTTATTATATTCAAAAAAAAAAAAAAAAAAAAAATTAATCGAGTTCTATAGAGAGAGGGTAATAAAGATAGATAAATACCTAGTAACGCCCATGATAATTTTGCTTTGAAGTTTTCGAATGTCTATAATTAATTATGGTCATGCGGAAAAAAAATTTTTTGATTTGTTTTGCTATTAATAAAAATAGTTTATTATTTATTAAAAAAAGGAAAGAAAAAAAA